GTACATTAACCTTTATGAATGTGCAGACTTCTTCAGTGTCTTGTACTAATACTCGAGTATTAGTACAAGACACTGAAGAAGTCTGCACATTGTAGACGAAATACGCGTATCTGTCAAGGATAAGCAAATAAAGTAGTGGAATTAAATGGAAAATACTAATCCTTCTCTCTCTCATTAAACAATATGTTTGTTATTCGACAATTATTCCAGTAAAACAAGGAAGGGAAAAGAGTCAACTAAAGTTCAAATTGATTTGCTTAAAGATCCAGGAATAAGAAAAAAGTACAGGGAAGCATTATCAACGTTGCCTACTAAAACAGACCTTAAAACAGACACAATAGATAAATGCTATGAAGAACTAGCTAGTAGAATGAGAATAGCTGCTCATAAAACCATTAAGATTTCTAGAATTCCCAACACACCACGCAGAACAAAAGCCTTAGACAATCTAAGAGTGGCGATAAAGGTTTCTCATAAACACCCAGATATGCAGAATTATAAGCAGGGTTCCTTCCATTCATTTTGGCTAAAAAAATGTTTTATAAAATTATGGAATAATAAGATATTATAATAATATTTTGTTTGTGTAAGCAACAAGAAAAGATTGTGTAGTTTGTGTTTGACACATAATACCAGCCAATGTTGCTGCATGAGAGTCGCAATAAGCGATTTTGTCATTTATCTCACCCACTCTTCACTCTTCACTCTTCGCGAAGAGGCGATCAGAAAATCGCTCATTGTGGCTCTGTCAAAGCTAAATTTGCAGGTTTTATGTGTCAAACACAAACTTTAAAAATTTGTCTTGTTCCTTACACATACAAAATACCATCATAATATCGTATTATTCCATAATTTCCTAAAACATTTTTTTAGTCAAAATGAATGGAAGGCACCCTGATTATAAGTACAGAGTTGGAAATCGTAGACAAGAGTATCAGCAAGCAGTCAAAGAACATAATGAAAAGGAAATCATGAATTTTTTCAGAAACCTTAAAGATTTTGATGCAGGCATAAGAATAAGAAAAACCTACAATTATCTTAAACAGTTTGTTAAGCAAAAGAAGAGCAAGACTTCCAAAGATTCCAGAACATGGACAAAATAAGTTTTGATGAGCTTTCAAAGGATAGAGAAAAAATGAAAAGAACATTAAATGAAGTATACAATAATGAAGAGAGTGAAATTTCCTATGGAGAGTCATCAGATGAGGACAATAAGGGAAAGACGTACAAACATTGGAAGAAGAAAATAAGAATTTAATGGGAGAGCAGCGAGTTAGTAAAGTGGGATATGAGAAGAATAGCAAAAGTTGCAGTTATTGAAGATTTTAATTGTTTTAAATTGTGGTTGTTTAAAAAAAAAATCACGTCGATTTAGGGTGGTAACCTCCAACTAGGTCGGCTAAATGTTGTAAAGGATCGTGATCGGATTTACCGGGAAATACCGATTGGAGCTTATGACCATTAAGGACAGGTAAGTAGTTGGTCCATCAAAGGTAAGATAAATTAATAAACATATAAAGTATCCGTTCGATTTTGGCAACACGTCTTCAGTATATCTAAACTGCTTGTGCTCTGCAGTTATATTATTAAATTCTGTTTAATAATTTTCTTAGATTTTCAGTAAAATTGTGGAGCTTTAAACGTCACCTGCAGGCCTGTTCTGCGAGTAGTATGGCTCTCTGTCGCTAGTAAGGTGACGATGGTCGCCTCGTGTGAGGTGACTCTTCATAAATTGCACGGAGAGTCACCCCACTAGTGCGTGACTTTTGGTGACTCATTGGTGGTGGAGATTCGCACGACTCGCGGAATAGGTCAGATAATAAGATTTGCATTTATTAATGATTTTGAGAAGCTAAGAAGTCAAAATTGTGTTGACAAAATCTAAATATATGGATATATAAATATATATATATATATATATTTATATATATATATATATATATATATATATATATATATATATATATATATATATATATATATATATATACAAACATTACATGCAAAGGGGAGGGATGGGACCACCAGGGCACCGGATTGAAGCGATTTGGATGGGGAGAGTGGAATTGCCAACTCCCTGTCATTAACATTTCGTGAATTGACGGCGGGCTCTTCTCCCCACTCATTGGGACGTTCCCACGTATGATGGGTTGTTCTACATCGGGTTGTAGGATTTTATCATTGGAAGGCGACTCTCCTGATCCCGCGGATTGCACGTAAGTGTATCTGCTTACGGGTCCGCCCCTCCGTTTTTGGCCCTTCTTACAATACACAACCAGGTATCGTACTTGATCAACCAGATATCGTACTTGATCAAGTCATACTTGGAGGATGATCCACTGTCTAATGGCTGTGCCTTGCAACAATGAGTGGTATCCTTTACATACATACACATTCGTAATCTGCATTAAAAATGGAACCCAAACCCAAAATTTCATCAATTTTGGTACACTGGAATTATTTTAAATATGTACGATTACATTTGCAAAAATCACCTTATTAGCGCCCCTCGGTGTCACTTTGTATGGGAGCGAGCAGTCAGTTTGTTAGTTTAGTGTCAAACAGTGAAGTTATTATTTTGCTTTAAATCTTGATTTAAAAATCGAGATGAAAGTGTGTGGGTTCGAAAAAAATATCGCTGTGCTCCAAAAACAAAGCTGTTTCAGATGATGCATAAAAAACGATACATTTTTCAAAATTAAAGAGCCCAATTTCGGTATTCCATGTAGAATTGCGTTCATTCTCTTTGCTACATAAAACAATACATATCAGTAAAAATAACTGGAAACATCCATAAACCATTAATGCCTACATTATGCTTCAATGTAGACATCAATGCTATATAATCAATCTTCTAAGGGCCTGTTCATAAACTACAAACTACGTTGACAGTTTAGGGTTGTGACAATTATTCACGGCCCATACAAATTTAAAAACATTTGTATGGACAATTGTCTACGCAGGGGGAGGGGGGTCAAGAATCCCAAAACTGTCTACGTAGTTTATGAACAGGCCCTAAAGAACAACAAACAAAAAGAATTCAGACAGTTATCATTGTCCTCAATGATCTTAATATGCATTTAATCAAAGCTAATTTGCTGAAAGATCTTTTACCACAACTCAACAATTGGTTACGAACAAGCTCAGATATATTGACAGACCAATATATGAAATAAATGATTGAACGTTATGATTGAACGTTATGATTGAACGTTATGATTGAACGTAAAATGAAAATTATTTGCTGCATCAGAAAAAATATGATAAATTAAAAAAAATACAACAAATATTTGCTCAACCTCCATGGCCGAGGGCCCATCGATCGTATAATCGAATACATAGTTTTGTGCTTCCAATGAAAGTAGACGGGGCAAGATCGCCACCAGAGGCAAGATGAGCACCCATAAAATCCTCTCTGCAAAAAGATTTTTTGCAATAATCAATAACCGTTTTTTGTTAATTATTTATTTATTTATTTCCATAGTTACAACTTCAAAATAATGTTTCAATCTAGTGCTGGTATTTTGTTTTGATAAACTAAGTAATATAATCGTTAAATAGTCTGTTTTTTCCCGTAGTTAAACAAAATAACCATAACAACTTTGACTATATGTTTTTAGTATTACTTCTACGTGAAGTCAACGATTTACATAGTTGAAGATGCTAATTTCAAATAACAGACTGTAGTGGTAATTTTTATACGATAGATGGAGTAGATGAAAGCATAGAGTTGATAGTTCCGTTAGAGTACGGCAGTGTGAAGATTGTATATAGATATTAGACAAGCGAGCTAGGACAACTTTTAAGGAAGGTACAAATCGGTTTTTTTCCCCTCTCTTTACCAAACTCCCCCTTTAAAGAGGGATGGTGAGGGGTGTCCCCCCCCCCCCCCGCCACCACTGGCAAAAAGAGATGAAGACCGACCCGCTCATGTACCAACTGTGTGTTTGAAACAGTTCTACCGATTTTTTACCGCACTTCAGTTGTTATTTGAAGGAAGGCATCCAGTCGTAGGTTTGGAAATTGCAACTATTGTTTACCCCGACTTGACGATCTCGAGGGGACACGGGTGGGGTAGGTGCTGCTACTGTACCTTTCGACCATTGACAGTAATTGATGGTATGCTCCCATCCACTCCATCTACTCCATCTATCGTATAAAAATTACCACTACAGTCTGTTATTTGAAATTAGCATCTTCAACTAAACCATAACAAGTTTATTAGGGCAATGCTACCGACTCATGGGAGCTCGAGCATTCCGTGCTCAGAGCTTTTGGAGGGAATTGAGAAAGAGCCAAATAATTTAAAATTTGTATGGGGCGTGGATAATTGCAATCCCCCTCCAATCCCACTTTTTCTTTACTGTCTACGTTGTTAATGAACAGCCCCATACCACATTTTGTTTTTAACTGATATATTTGACTATTTAACGATTAGCGGTGCAGTGGTAAGCGTTATTACCTCTCATCCCAGCAGGCCTGGGTTTAATCCCAATCCCAGTCGGCGTCGCCGGGATGTTCTGACGCATAACATCTCTGATCACGCCGGGAAGAGAAGCCGTTGATCCCCGGTTCATGAGTTTATGGGTCGATAGGTAGGGTCCAGGCGTGGGAGCTGTCTCCCTGGCGTCGGTAGCACGGAAAACAAGATCGACGGAAAACAAATCAAGGGAAAAAACATTTCCTTCCCTATCCCTAGTTACGGTGAAGATGGACGTGACCGGAAATAACGATATTCATGCTTTTATTATTCTTATTTAGATTGGAATCAATGTTTACTCCCGAGCATTATTCCTGAACGACGCACTTCTTTCCTTAAACCTGTGGAGGGTAGCTTCTCCACACTTACTCACACCAAAATCTAGGTGAAAGCTATCACAGCTAAGGGAGAGTGTTTAGTTATCACCGTATCAACAAAGTTTGCGGTCATTCTTCAAAGAAGGGGTAAGGTTATTTCGGTAGTTATTATTTATTCAAACATAAAGTCAAATACAAAAATGTATCGTCGTGTAAAGTATAATTTTATTATACCTTATTCGTCCATTAAAAAAATCACAATTCTATCGATCAGTTTTGACTAAATTTTACAAACAAATGATTACGTTTCATAGGATTGCTAGTATTCACATTTACTTTTATTATAAATAATATACATTTTAAAAGTCACCGACACACTGTCCGAAATGAGAAGTCATGTCAACTTCTACACGTTCCGAAAGGCAATTTTTATAATTTAGGTAGTCTAGCAATCTCCGTGGTAATGGTAGTGTTTGAATTAAATCCTTTCTTATTATCGTTTTATGTATGACGAACCTATTGATAAAACGGTGAAAACGAGGTAAGTAAAAAACTTTTCTTCAATAAATATGCATCGACAAATTATATCCTACCTGCAAAGGTGTTGCAAGCTTTGTACGTGTTTGAATCTGGATACAGGCTTAGTCAATTGCACGCGTAACGGTCCATGTTCCGGTCGTCTATGTAGAAAAAATAAGTATCTACCACTCCTAGAATGCTCAACGGCATTTTCGATGAATTCCATTATTGTTCGGGATTTAAATTTTGCACACGATCCAAAGGAGAATGCACCTGAAAAATAAATAAACATAAAACGGATTGTTTAATTTACATAAAACAAATAGCTTTGCATTGAAATTTGCTAGCTCCTCCACCAGTTATATTTTTTTTTATATTTATTAAGGAGACGTTCAGCCCTGGACTGGTTCGTCTCCGGAGCAGTGATGGAAAAGTTCGCGTAAGCTCACTATGACTCGCGAACTTTTCCCTTGGTGAACTTCGTGAAATATCGCGAACTTTTCCAACACTGTTCCGGAGTTATATTTTTCCTCATATGTATGTATAGTATTTGTCAGTCTCGTGTGTTGAGGTTAAGAGAATTGTAGAAACGAGGGCTCAGTAGAGGAAATAAGTTAACACGTGTGGACGCTAGTTCGCTACAGACAAGAGTGAATTTATTGGCGTTCTTTAACATTTGATATGACGTTAAGCAGTGTTGCCTGAAGGGCTTTCGTACAGTCGTTGCAAGTCAAACCGGGGGGTTCAACACTCGTCCTCAACTCTGAATAGCTTGAGGCCAAACGCCTCCAGTAGTCGTTGCAGTTTCACAGCTTGTAACGGCTTCGTCAGAAAATCAGCTTCCATGTGCTCGGTCGGGCAATATGTCAGTTATACGATGCCGTCTCGAACCATATCTTTGACGAAGTTGTATTTCGTGTCGATGTGTTAATGGAGCCTGCCTTGCGTTCAGCTCGGTCTCCTCGAGTCAATGCAATGCAAATCTGGTTGCCCTCATTAACCAGGTGCTCACCAACGTCGAACATAAACTTCTGGATCCACTTAGTCTCTTGCAGGCATTTTGCAAGGGCCACATATTCAGCCTCGGTGCTAGATAAGACCACGCACTCCTGCTTAAGGCAGCCTTATCCAATGAATCCACTGCCGAACTTAAACAAGTATCCAGCGTTTGATTTGACGCTGACTGGCATCGCCTGCCCAGTCAGCGTCCACAAAACACTCAAGCTTCTTTTTATCACCCCTTAGGTACAGGAAAGTCGTGAAGTTCTGTTTCAGTCCTTGGAAGACCTCAGCGAACTCCTCCTCAGTGTAACAGATAACAATGACATCGTTAACATAAATAAGCACAAAGACGCACTTACCCACCCTTTGGCGTATATAAATACACTGGTCCGTCGTTGACTGGTCGAAATCCATGTGTTTCAGCACCTCGTCGATCTTCGTGTTCCAGCCCGTAAATGCGGCGTCTCAGCCGGCAGACTTCATTCGGCTTACCACTCTCATACCTCGAAGGCTGGCGCATGAAGATCTCCTCCTGTAGCTGCCCATGAAGATGCGCAGTATTTATGTCCACATGTTTCGTCAACATCTTCCGCTGGCTTGCCACAATCACCATCGTCCGGAACGTTATCTGCTTTACTACGGGAGCAAAAATCAGATCGTAATCTGTCCCATATTTTTGGCAGAAGCCCTGCGCCAACACCCGCACTTTGAATCGGATGAGATTGCCATCATCATCTACCTTACATTTATATATCCATTTTGATCCGATAGCTTTCCGCTCTGCTGGCAATTCCGCAAGCTCCCACGTTCCGTTTTCACGATGAGACTGCATTTTATCTTCCATCGCCGATTTCCACTCGGCACACTGCGGACCGGACACAGCTTCTTTATACGACTTTGGTTCAACGAAAGTTTGCTTCACCGAATTCACTCCCTCAGAATACCTTATCGGTGGAACACCTGCCGTTGTCCTCTGTGAACGACGAGCGGCTGGAGATGCGGCTGACGTGACATTTACATGCACCGGATCACCTACGTCATCGTCGTTCCACAGTCCACCAAACCAGTCGTTGTCGTTATCGTGCCAAAAACTTCGTGGCCAGCCGTCATCTTCGTCGTCCCAGCCATAGAAATCGCCTTCGGAGTTTGTATCTGTGAAATATAGGCCACTCTATTATATAAGAACAGCCCTATTGAATGAGAGTTTACACTATTATCCCGCCAGTTAGTGCTCACCCCTGCCAAAAGTGAATATCTTATTGTAGAGTAATCATCTCTCTCAGCTCTCCCTCTCCCTTTTCCCTCTCCAGTTACCCTTCAATCCCCGTACTATCGAGTAAGTAGCCGAGCATCCAAGCATCGTCCGACCATCCGAGTCACCGCTGAGGATTGGATGGTTGAACGCCACAGTATCATCCACCCCGTGGGGTTGTTCTTCTCGTTTCGTCACTTTTATCAACAGGCCACTCGATTTCCTCGCTACCTCACCAATTTTCCTTCACGTTTTGATCAATGAGGACTTGATCCAACACCAAGTCCTGAGAAAACGGGCATCCCGACTGATTCGGATTCCTCCCGTCCGTGTACGCTTTATGATAGGCCGAGTACCCAACGAATGTCATTTTCACAGCTTTGACGTCCAATTTCTTTCATTTCGCTGACGAAATCAGTACATATCCAACGCATCCGAATAACCGCAGGTACTTCAAATCTGGTTTTCGGGCATACCATATCTCGTATGGCGTACGACCGACGGTCGTAGATGGCAAACGTTTCGGCAGGTAGCAAGCGGTGTTTATTGTCTCAGCCCAAAATCGTTTATGCATACCTGCCAGTGCTGTAAATTCTCAAAATCAATTGAACATTTTTGATGAAAATGAGAAAAGCAGCTATCCTCTATTAAAGGGGAACAGTTGCTTAGTCATTTGACGAAGGCATGGATCATTCTCATTTGAGAAACTTCTCTTCTTCTTCCTCGCATTTCAAGCTTTTTGCGTATGGCATATTAGCTTTTTTGCATGCTCTCAACTCAGTGTTCTAGATGCACTTCCACAGTTATTAATTGAGAGCTTTCGATGCCTGTACCATTTTTGCATTAGTATAATTGTGTGGCAAGTACAATCATACTTTATGCCCCATAAACCCAAAATTCACCCGACAACAACACGAAATTGGGTCGACATCTACCTTAAATTTGCCTCTTCAAAATATGGTCATGTGAGAATTCGTTTTCACAGAATTGATTGAATGGTTGTATTGGTTCATCTTCAATCGAATGATATGAAAATTAACAGCCCTGATACCTGCATTCAGAAGCATACACCGGCTCATCTCGCTTAACGACCGGTCCTTTTGCTCAGAAACCCCGTTCTGTTGAGGTGAGTATGCTGCGGTGTACTCCGCTTCAATCCCTTCCTTCGCGTAGAATTTTCGTAGACCCTTTCTGGAATACTCTCCGCCCTGATCGGAGCGGATAATTCGCGGTTTGCGCCCGAGGCGATTTTCTACCAATCTTACGTACTCGCAAATTCTATCCTCGACCTCCTACTTCTTTTTCAAAAAATATACGTAAGCATAACGGCTATGATCGTCTATCAGGGTCATGTAATAGCTACATCCTCCTGGAGTTGCCACCTCCATTGGTCCGCAAACATCACTGTGGATTATATCCAGCACTTTGGTCGACGTCTTCTCGGCATCCTGTGGGAACGATGGCCGAGCCGTTTTGCCTTCGATGCAGCATTCACAGGTCCACCGGATGCCGCAATCGACAACGTTTAGACCCGTCGCCAAATCGTGTCTTCGTATTTCGCCAAGAACGCCAAGAACGCCACTCGATCCTCCACGACTCGTAGCCAATACATATCGCTCACTTTATCCGCAACCGCAACTATCGTACTGTCGTACACGAGATTGCAGCCGGTGCTGTCATATACAGTACGGACACCTTTTGACGCGAGCTTTCCAATCGAAATCATATTTCCCTTTAGAGTGGGGACATACAGCACACCCCGCAGGGTGAGTTCGACTGTCTCTCCACTGTCACCCGCGCACTTAATCAAGCAATCGACGATGCCTTATACGCGATTTTCACTGTTATCCCGACAATGACACTCGAACCCGAATCGTGTTCCATTTTAGTGAAAGCACTTTTGTCGCTACACCTGTGCGAGGTGGCACCTGATTCGATCAACCAGGAATTTGCAACGTTACGACCAACCTAATAGTAAATTACCATAAAAACTGCTTAACGACGTGCTGGGAGTATCATTCATATTATATGTGGAATCCATTTACCTATCTGGATATTGTTCGTATATGGTTTCCGTTTAATAGGGGATGGCGGACATCAGGCAGAGACCTAAACCCTAAATATCAAAGAACACCAAAGGACGAAGTGTTACTTTTAACTTACCGTAAGTAGGAGTGACCATCTGCCAAAATATCAAAAAAATATTCGTCAACTACCTTACAACATTCACGTTTTAGCATGTGAAAATATTGATCAATGATATATTTAAGATTGTCGTGGAAATGTGGAAATGGTTGATCGAAATTGAAATCTAAGTTTTCTAAAATTAAATGAAAAATATACCAATGTAAAACCTTATGTTTGGTGACATTGGGCCAAATCATAAATTAGATTGAAATATCTTATAATAAGTAAATGTAACGTAGTTATTAGGAGCACACTTGGCTATGATCCCAATGCTTTTCGTATGTATGGCTAAATATCACGTGTAACCCTCGTCTATCCACATAAAAATGTGTTCAAACTTTAGTTTGCTTGTGGACATTTTTTAAAAAGGCGTTTTTGCTACCATTTATGACAATTAATTTTACAGCACTATTTAAATGAAACAACAACTTTACTTTAGGAGATCTTGCAATATATTCTGTATATTCAACTGTAATCCCAGTCAATATGGATTGAACCCACGACATCAACACTTTTAGCACTTAACCAATGGAACCGAATGTGCTCCAATTAGGGTAGACGGTGCTAGATCACCACACAGTTTAAGTTTGTTTCAAAAGTCTAATATTTCTAGAAAAGGCACCCGTTCTAATACCGGACAAAAGCATCTAATACCGGACAAAAGTACCTCGTAACTTTTTTTCACTATAAAAAAAATCCTAGTCTTAACTTTTGAGAAGTTCACACCTCTTTTTTGTATAGCTTTGCAATTTCCTTGAGCATAGTAAACCAAATGATCTAAAATTGTGTAAACAGAGATCTTTTATATGCATTTGGTTTTAAAAGATTCATA